GTTGTTCAAAGCAGTCTTACTCGTAAAGGGTTAATTAAGGGTTAATTAAAATGAAAAACCACTCTTAGCCAGTACCGTGCACGCTACAGAAATAGATTACTACTGACTTTTCTCACTATGTTTTTTAATAACCGTATCAAATTGTTACACACAATCAAATGTTATATATTTGACTTAACTTTACATAACAAAATAATTGTAACGATAGGTAAAACAATAACGTGCACGCTACCGTTCAATGGAAACCACGGGAAGGTGGTGGTCACTTCCATCAGGAGGGAAATGTAAAAAATTGTTATTTCTTTGTAAACATTATCACATGCCGTATATTAAAATGTTTTTATTAATGTAATGAAATTACAATATAATGAAAAACTAACTCGTGAATGCATTAATTTTTATTAATATACACACGAGCCATAAAAATGGAAAAATGATATAATTGTTTACATTTCCAAAGGATGGGATGTCGGGATAGGACGTTTGCGATTAAGCTGGCACGTTATGTCGTGCATTGTTGCTCTTACGGTACCGTGACGTAAGTGTAACAAGGCGCGACATTCTACGTCATAGCCACACTATCTACAGCAAGCAATTTCACTAACTAAAAATATACGGCAAAATATAAGCAAATAAATGAAGAAAAAAAATGATAGTTAGAGCAAGCAGAATAGTATTTACAGCAAGCGAAATACGTAAAAAAAGTAACAACGCGAGACAAATTGAACGACTATTTACATATTAGCGATGTCCAAAAAAAAATATTTTGGACATCACTAACAAGACTGCGGTTGCAGTGTAAGCGCTTTCGCGTGACGTTATGGCACATACATGCATCACACCTTGTTGCGCCTACGTCACGGTACCGTTGACGTAACAAGACCAGTCTACCGCGACGTCGCATGAAAACGTTTATACTGTCATTGCAGCCTAATAGTACGAATTTACTAAAGAGCTTTTCTCTGGAGAGAAAAATCTCTCTAGAGAAAAGCTCTGTAGTAAATCGGTACCTTAATTTTCGTCATATGACGTAGCGGGAAAATTCTCAAAGTTATTGTCATATGTTGCGTTTAATCTTAAATTACACTTTTGCTTCTTAGCAAATCTATGATATAAATTTTTGGAATACAATAGAGCTAGATGATCGTCATCTACCTCCATGGGTTGAGAGTTTTCCCTCTGCGCCTTTAACGAAGATTTCACAACGCAAATAGAGTTGACGCTGGCCGAAGAAAGTTTATTTCCGTTTCTTTGTTTTTATGTCAGGTAACATGGAAAACAATCTTTCTGCATCGGCATTGGAATTTGGAAGTGATCTAATTGTATTTACTAATTTCATCAATTCAGGAAATTTAATTTTATAGTCCAAATTTCGCGTTAATAAAATTGTTTTCCAGAAACCATCGAATTTCATCTCGATAAGCGTCTGTCTACCTTTCGTTGTAAATTCCAAAGGCAATACTGACCATTCTGTTTGCAGTCCTTCGTCGAAACCGCCGAATTTCTTAGCGATTAAGAGAACATTTCTGAAGGAAATGTCTCTATTTGTATCATTTAATATAAAAGTTGGTTCAAAAACATACAACATGCTAAGAAATTCGTCATCGATTGGCAATCGATGACGAATTTCGTTTGCAGCTGTAATATAAAACATTAAACAATTTTTCCTTACGGTTTCTACGATGTCGGACTTGCCTTCTGCATTCAGTTGATGCAGAAAATTAAGACACTCTGTTCCTAAATTTATACTATCAAATGGAAGTTGATTTTCGACTACAGAAAAATTCATCATTCTTACTAAATCCATGTGTTTCAAAAGCTGCGGTTTCAGAAAATTGCGTAATATATCGCATAAAAGTTCTGCCGCAGTCTTTTGAAGCAAATGAATTCTTGTCTCTTGAGTTTGAAAGAAAATGCTAAATTTATAAAAAAACTCAAGAGCGTAATTTAGAAAATAAAGATATGCTTTGGCCTCTGGATTTTGCATCGAGATTAACAGACGTTCCCCGGACTCTGATTTCTCGCTTATTGTCAATTCTTGCAAAAAAAGCAATACAGAGTCCCAATTCTCTAAAAGTGTAACTACGGATGTATAATGCGATAACCATCGCGTAGAACACAATTTTAAAATTTTTCGGTCGGTTGTTTGAAAACATTGCTGAAATTCGCGGAATATAGCCGAACGTTTGGGACTACTGTATATGAAAGTTGCTACTTTTCGTAACAACTCCTCGCATATGTCTGGAATGGTATTGCACGCTTCGCGCACTACCATTGCAGACAGATGACACGGACAGCGGAGAGTCAAAAATTTGTCCCTGCATTTTGTTGCAAGCTTTGTCATAAAGGACGAGTGTCGCCCTGTCATGACAGCAGCGTTGTCACATGACAACGCGACAATATTTTCGAACGGAATTTCTCTTTCTATCATGGTAATTTCAAATGTTTTAAATAAATTATCTGCGCCACAATTTCTGGCATCAAGATGTAATAATTCTACCAATTCCGTTCGAACATCCAAAGTCTCGGGTGCAACATAACGAACAAGAAACGTCGTCCATTTCTCGTTGGTCGAGTCGGATGTTTCGTCAATATAAATAGAAAATTTAGTGTTTTGTAAAACACTAGAAATACGTTTTGTTTCTAAAGGATACAAAACGTTTGATATAATATTTGAACACTTTGTTCGACCGAACGACATATGTTTCAAGACATCAGGATCTTGCCCAATGTCTTTGAAAACTTCAAGAATCGTCTCTGCGGTTCGATACGGAATATTTTTTTCGGCTATTAATTTGGCAAATTTGATTTCCGCGGATTTTATCCTTTCATCCAACGACAGAGGCGATTCTTCGGATTGCGTCGTAAAATTATTATTCAATTTGTCTGCGTTATTGTTACTCTTTTTATAATTCTCAATGTGACACTGAGAATCGGCGTGATTATAAATCGTCGATAATCGACATGAAAATTGATTGTTGCAAACCGAACAGAACCACGAATAACGGTCGCCGTCGACTTTATGCAACCATGGCTTGAAATAATCATTCTCAAGCCATTGAGGCATAAAAGTCCTTTTAGAAGTACTATTTTTTTTATGACACCCAGATTCTCCGTGTCTATACACGTTTGAGGAACCGCAAGAATAAGACTTATTGCATAAAGTACAATAAAAACGACTTCTATCATGGGGTACTGCACGTATCCATGATTTAAACCTATGATCATTTATCTATGAAGATAAAAAACCGCGCTTACACTTATTCTTCGATTTCACAACCGTTTCCATGATATAAAAGCAGAAAAGCGAAAGAACAGAAAATTACAGAAATTACGCGAAAGCTTTTTTTCAATTTAAATATCTCAGAATGACCTACGGCACGTACCTTTAAATTTGTCCTGATGTTCGTCCTCGTCGACCGAATTCAACTGACTCAAGAGAAACAGCAGTGGCTCGAGCACGTGGCGATAGTGTTTTGTTTATACTGCTCGCGCATCGATGGGCCGTTGAAATGCCCGGACGAAGAAAGGACGTAGATATATACATATAGCACAGTTCCCATAGGGTTTTAAAAGGCAATAATTAGAAATAAAGTTCTATTGAATGAATAGCAGTATATAGACGACAATTTAATATATTTCATTTTGCAGAAATGAATTTAGAGGGGAATCAAAAAAAAAGGAAAGAAGAATATAGACGTTCTAATATATGCCATGTGATAATGTTACAAAGAAATAACAATTTTTTACATTTCCCTCCTGATGGAAGTGACCACCACCTTCCCGTGGTTTCCATTGAACGGTAGCGTGCACGTTATTGTTTTACCTATCGTTACAATTATTTTGTTATGTAAAGTTAAGTCAAATATATAACATTTGATTGTGTGTAACAATTTGATACGGTTATTAAAAAACATAGTGAGAAAAGTCAGTAGTAATTTATTTCTGTAGCGTGCACGGTACTGGCTAAGAGTGGTTTTTCATTTTAATTAACCCTTAATTAACCCTTTACGAGTAAGACTGCTTTGAACAACATTATTCTAAAATATTTGTGGAATACGTTTTTTATGTGGTTTAGGTAGGTATGCAAGGCATAAGATTTCGTTTAATTTTTCCTGTCTAGGAAAGATAGGAGAAAAATATATTTGATCTTAATCCTTCATAAGATTTATATAAATCGCTTTAAAAATTTGTTACAAATGATGTGTATGTATCGAAATAATTATAAAACTAAAAACGTATAATCATCATTATATGGGAGCTGATCACGCTTAAAATATAATGAGACCTTAAAACGAGAACATAAAACTTAAATGTTAAGTTTCATTGAAATTCATTCAGCCGTTTAGACGCAATCATGTCAATAGCATAGGAACAAAAAAAAATATGTTTTTTTGTAGTAGTCACAATATGATGAGGGGGTTCTAAAACGTGTATTTCCGCTAAAAAAAATTTCGAAATATTTTTTTCGTTATTGAAATTCACTTAGTCGTTTAATGCATTCATGTTAATAGCATAGGAACAAAAAAAAATATCGTTTTTTTCAATAGTCACAATATGATCAGGGGGTCCTAAAACGTGTATTTCCGCTAAAAAAAATTTCAAAATTTTTTTTCATTATGATACTTTATAAATTTCCTTATACCTTACATATAGGTCGGAAAGTAAAAATGCTGGGGCAGTCGAGGCTTGGAATCGTATGCCGCTTATCGCGAGGTCGTATTTCAGTTGTTTTGTCTTTTACAAGAGCAAGAAGGAAAGGCTCACACTAGCGTTCTTTATCGATTTGCCGAAGTTGTGCGAAGTGCCGAGCTCACGTACACGTGGCTCGTGCGGTAGTGTATGCCTGCTATCCCCACCATTCCGTTAGACGCTAAGGAAGTTCGTCGTCACTGTTGTCGATTTCGATGCACTCAATTATGCCCGATCTGGCCACACTGGCCACAGTGTTCTAAGGTAACCTAAGAATTAATGTATTTATGTTTATTTCGTTCAAAGGAAGTTACCAGTTCAAGTTGAGCCATGAAGTAATCATCATCGCAATGGTTAAATATATTTTTAACTTCGAATTCAAACATAATTCGCGTTAAAGTAAATATTTATTTGTAATAAACTCGAAAAATCCTTTAATACAAACTAAAAATAGAATACAAAAAGGAATATTTGTCCAAGAATTGTTGTAACATCCACATGGAGGTAAATATTTCAAAAATTTGTATTCATTTGATTACCGACAATTCTTTTCATGCATTCTATGGTTTAGATGGAAATACTCGCCAAGAAGTATCAGCAAAGTTATTATGAGTATGTCCCGGATTGGTTAGAATATAACAGTGACGAATACGATTACATAAAACAAAATATTGGCTTTGCTTTCTTCGGCCTTCCAGAAACCAACAAAGATGAGGTTAAGATTAACCAAAATAAGACATGCATTGGAACAATGTATGACAAGGAGTCGTGTGAAAGAATCACAGCTATATACAATAAGATAATCAAATATGGCAGGGAAACCAATCTAAGTCAGGGTACTATCTACATTGGGATAATATACAACACGATATTTCAATATACAGCATTAAATGAATCAAAAGGGGAAAAGTTTCGTGAAATGTACACGATACCAGTGTTTAAAATAAAAAGAATGAATAGTGTATGGTACATCGATAACAATGCCAGGATATACAAAAACTGGAAGGATTATTTAACGAACAACACATTGCCCAAATGTGTTATGGTTGTACCAAAAGATGGAATTTATCAGTGTGATCCAAACTGCGAGGTAACAGAACAATCTTCAGTCGTGTGGACAGAAACATTGAACTCACCTGCCTGTTCAAGAAAGAATATTGTTTTCAATGCTTTCGATACTGCTTCTACTGTATTGAGCCTTGGAACAACTATTGGACTGGGTATCACTTCTTTTTTCACTCCGGTTGGGCCTGCGTTGGTTGGGGCAGGTATGGGTCTATCTTTTCTGCATTAAAAATAATTTAAATCTCTGGTACTTAATCACTTTTCTTTTACGGATCACTTTTTTGTTTGTTTTTTAAAGTTCTATACAGGTTTTGAATCTATATTGTGTAAATGTTTGCTGCTCTCCATGATCAGGCGATACGTTGATTATTTTTTAAGTTAATTTAAAATTTAAATTAAAATGTAAAGTTAACTTTGAATTTTAATTTAAGCTTATATAATCGGAAATTTAATTTTTTCGTAACAGTTTCGAAGATAAAAGTTTAGAATTTTGATATAACAATTTGAAACAATAATTTTTAATATTTTTACAAGTCCCAATTTAATCAACAGGAATAATCACTGCTGGCGTGAGCGGAGCCTGGACTATCACCAGAAGTTCGCAGAAGTTACTAGATCGGGGTTTGCATAAAGAATCCGTTAATCCAATGGACAAGAACACAATTTCTGCATGGCTCGGAATAACTGGCACAGCTCTAACATTAGGAGCAAGCGGTGGAACGATGCTTCTCTCAAAAGCCATCGAAAAAGGCAATCGCATAAACACAGCAACCAAAGCAGTATATAATTCCATGATACTAGGCAATCTAGCAATAAATGGAATTGGTGTAATCTATCAAGGCTGTTGTGTAATCAACAAATACCAAGAGAAAAGACAAGTCGATATGTACGACATAATTATCTTCAGCTCCCACGTTTTGTTCTTCAGCAACTCTGTTTTAAATGCTAAACTAGCTAATGACCTTGTTACATCGTCCAACGGGACCATTCTAGATAAATTTAAAAACACTTTACGTTTCACACGGTTCCGTAAAGAGTTTAATAGAATAAAAGGAGTAAATGGGAACAGAATATTAAAAGATCTAATGTATCAAGTGAAACATGTCACTAGCAAAGAAGATTTTCTCAGTATATTTCAGAGGTTCGAATCAACCTTTAGAAATAACAAAATAGTCGTAAATGGTATAGAATTGATAGATCCAATTGCGGTTGCTAGACATTTACTAGTGATCGGTAGGTTTGGACTGAATTTCATAAATTGTAATTTGTCGTTAGAGCTCAAAAACAGAATAGTGTCATTGAAAAGTGTCTTATTGGATCTGTTAAAGAATTGCTATTCGAAACGATTTATTGCACAGAAAGATTCGAATGATGTGAATTGTTTCAACAATACATTGGAAGAAATATCCCCTATGGAGAACGGGACGGACATTTTGAAAATGATTATCAAAATAGGTGTGACTGTGTTAGAACATTCTAACGAATCAGAAATATTTTTGCATGATGTTGTTTATTTTATTTGGGAATACTCTAAAGCAAATCTACACAACTATGTAATAAACGCATGTTCTCCCTTCAAAAACAGTAGCAATTTGTATAACGCGTTGACTAAAATTGTCACGTCTATATTTAACATTATCGATGATATAAATCAAGAGCTTTACTTCGCTTTTAAAGAGTACACATTAAGTATAGGACATTGAGTTATTGTTCATTATAGAATAATTGTAAGCCTTTAGCGTACGTTAAAAAGACTGAATTAGTATGTATAAATAAAATATCTTTTCATTATGAACAAATCTTTTACGTGTTTCATGAAAACAGGTTATATACAGAGTATTTCGCATTTTTCCGTATACACTTCAGCAGTGTGTTTTACAAGTAAAACTAAGACTAAAATGTTATATAACAACAAATCCATAAATGCTTTGTTAAGAAGTTATAACAAAAATATGAACTATGAAACTCGGTTAAGATTCAGGACATTAAAATAAGAAAAAAAATTTATAATAAAATAAAATCAATCTTTTGCAAGCATTCGATATCGTGAGTTTCTTTGCAATTTACTAAAGATAAACTTGAACAATAGTTCAAAATTTTATGACAACAAAAAGTTATCATCAAAGAAAGAATTTTTCAGCACCCAAGATAAATGATAGAAACTAAACTCTGATAAAGAAATGTTTAAGTTATCCACATAATATGTAAAAATATTTGTTCGTGCCTCAATTAGCAGTTGCTCTCTTTGAACAAAATTTTAGTAAATTTCTTTGTTTAATAAATAAAAAAACATAACATTTCATATTTTTGTCATAACTTCTTAGCAAAGCATTTATGAATTTTTTGTTATATATATATATTTTTTTAGTAAGTATCAACAAAAATGAATAAAATGACAGAAATGAACGCGTCGTAAGTATTGGTACAGTTACAGTTTATTACATCTGTGACTCAAATTTTGTTGTGTAAACACAACGCCTTAAATTCAAATATCGCTTACTTAAGCTAGTCGGCTTAGAAACGCTGTCTGGAATTGTGGTACAAACATACAGAACAATATTTATCATTACTGTAGCAACATGAGTCGAAAAAGTAAGGAAACTACCGTAGAAGAGCGAAAGATAATTAATAATTTGCATAATCAATGCAAAAGCTTATCCGAAATATCGCGCATTGTAAAAAGACCAAGATCTAGGATAGAAAGATTTATTGATAGATACGGATTACGAAAAACATTGCAAAATCAATTATTCAATTCATTAAAAACAATCCGTAAATAAGTGGAACAAAGATCGCTGAAGAAGTTGAAAATAATGTAAATATCACTGTATCTTCCAGTACTGTACGTAATTTCTTGCAAAGTCAAGGTTACCATGATAGAACAGCTCGAAGGATATATTGCGAGAATTAAAGAAATAGGAAAAAGAGATTGGAGTTTGCACAAAGTTACCTAAAAACACCGATGGAGTTTTGTAAGAGGGTTGTTGAATAATATTTTTAATGGTTGGCTACGATTATTGCGGGCTGATTATACCGACGCTCTAATATTTCCCAAGCAACCGTATAATTAATTGCTGAGTTACCGAGTGACTCGATGGCTTTAGCAGCTTCATATTTTAAACACGACCGAAGGTACATTAATTTTTTACAATTGTCGATGCGTGTGTTATCATGCACCGTCGAGCGAAATTGGTCGGAAAAACCTGGCCAATCTTCGTACGCGACCGTCAATGTTGGCAGATTGATCATTGGCAATGTAACTTCATTTTCTACTGACTCTACCTGCGAATGTGCCGTGTCCTACACGTCTCGCAAATTATTTCCTGATCGTAAAGTCGTTGCTGCTTCAATTATGTCTAACGCTTGTCCTTTAAGTTGCATAAACGCTGCATTTATACTGACGCGTTCACGCATTAGCTGACCCTCCTCTAAATTATCTAATTCGGTTTGCTATTTATTGAAAGCTGCGAATTCAGCTTCTAAGTCCTCTAATTGTATACGGATAATAATCACTGAGGTTCCTTCCAAAAAATTATCAATCGATATTCTAAAGGTTTCGACATCTATTTTGAATGCCTCGCGTTTCATTTTTAAATTCTTCATTCGGTCTTCATGACCAGGAGCCATTTTGTGTAAATTTGAATGAATTCGGAATAAGATTTAACAATGTGTTCAAACGATGACTCAAAAAACAAGGGTGTGGACTTACGTTCCGATGCGATGTCTGCAACCTCGCGTTTGGTGAGCTCGCTCAGGATGCTGCTTTGGTTAATCTGTATTGGTATACAATACTCCTGCTGCTGGATGTCACTCTGCCTGAGTGACCAACTCCGTTAGCGTGGCTGACCGTGCGGGACTCAAAATGTGCTGCTATCTTCTCCCGAAGGTGACACTCCTGATGCCACTGACTGTGATGAACCGCTTTTACATTTATTCATGTCAAAGATAGATCGCGAAACCACGTTAAAATGGAAGGAACATACGCAAAACACAGATTTCCCAACCGTAGAAGATTTATTTAAATTCCTACACGACCGGTGTAAGATACTTGAACCCGCGGGTTCTAATTATAACAACCATAATTCTAAAATCATATCTCCTCAAATCAACAATCGTTATCGAAATTGTCCAATTCCATCTGAATCCATAGAAAGCACTGAATTTAACATTCCAACGGGCATCCAACTAGCAGATCCATCTTTCCATCAAGCACAGGAAATAGATGGACTCTTAGGGGCCCAAGTATTTTAGGATCTCCTATACGGAAACAATATCGTGTTAGAAAAGCAATTAATCACATTACGTGAAACCGGGCTAGGGTGGATAGTAACCGGGGAAATTAGAAGTACGACTCAATCACATAAAGTAATTTGCATTGTTACGCTGAAGGCAGAACATGATGACATGCAAAGGTTTTTGTTTAAATAACGCGTTAATTCGTTAATAAGAAACGGCGGTTAAATTCTCGCGTGATCTATAGAAAAAAGGGGACATTTCTTATACGGTGTTGTCCTCAGTGTTCGCGACATTCCAGAGCCTTCTCTGCGTCGTAACCTGCTTCGGGAGCAATACCGTGTAGAAAAAATCCAAATTTACCTTCGATAATAGTCACGCGATCGGCCCAGTAACGGTTCCATGAGAACCGGTGTTACTACGCCGAAATAACAGAGAGGATTCAAAATTAATACGAGACAGACAATTTCCCCTCTCGTGATCGCGGATAAGAGGGTCTGTCTCGGCAATCACTTGCTATCTGGTTCTCGACGAGTTCGCATCGTCCAAGCCGACCTCGTCCAACATCGCGATCACGATATACGAGCAATTAAATCCGTTTAATTGTATAGTTGCACCACAGAACCGAAACGGAACGAAATTAAGACTGTGGTAAATTCGAAAGAATTAACCTAGTCGGATTTCGTACCTCACGGTTTCGTGAGTTTAGTGATCGTTGTGTTAACAGAACCATTCTGGAATCTAACGGTATCAGCATTGAAACAATTTACAGTTAACAACCGGTGGCTGACAATAATCGTTTGTGCACTTCAATAGTGTTCGATTATCGCCACCGTTGCGTCAATTGTTTCAAGGCATAAGCGATTTCCCACATTAACAACCGGTGGCTGATAACAATCATCGTAACACTTAAATAGTGTTTGATTGTCGCCACCGTTGTGTGGAAGGCACGTACCGCTGTAATCAGCTGTCGTGCAACGAGAACCGAGAAAACTTCTCGGTTTTCCTTGATTTTTTGTACGATTCAAACACTCTTATAGGGGCCTTTTGGCGCATACCCTGAGTGGGATCGTCGTTTCCTAGGATCGTAATTCAGTTTGAGTACCACCCCCATAGGGGCCTTATTTGGCGTATTCCCTGGGTGCACTCGGCTGAATTCGATTGGCTCGAACGTCGGTTGCGGATCACCAGTGTGTACGGACACTCGGTGTAGAGCGACGTTCAAAGGGCACCGTGGTGTAAGCACCTTAACCTTCAGACGCTTCTAGCGCAGTTAAGGGCTTGCATCACACCGGTCCCGTACGGACCAGGAAACGACGCTGAATCACGGAGTGGACAATTTTTGGAGCCTTACAACCTCCACCTGTTGTCACCTCCAGCCAAATTCAAGCCAGCAGCAGTGGGAAGATCGAGATTCAAATCTTGTCTTCCCCATCTGCTATTAAAAGTTTCCAGAACTGCAGTCGAACGTTTCTCGATCACACGAGAAACGTTTAAGAATACAGTCCACTAACACAGCTGCTTATCGCTGTGAAGGAATCCCGCTCCTGTTTATCATAAACAGAGAAAGGAGCGTGTGGATTGACGCGAGTCAGACAACGCGACGAGCGTTGTCACATATCTACAATAAAATTTCGGTCTCTTTTTGTTGCAGACGACCGAGACGAGAGCCGTAGTGGCCTAAGACGCGGCCAGGTTTTTTACGAGCCCGCCAACGAGCTCGGTTTTTCCTGGCGATTTTTTAAAAATTTAAATTTCTTTATTTTTGTTTTATTTAATTTTGGTTTTTCTTTTAATTTCAAACATTTTAAATAAACGGCCTAGTCTACCAGACTAGTCGAAAGAAATTTACAGTGTACCGATTCACTTTCCCACACATTCCCACTCCCTCGTAATTCGGACACCTCGTTGAAGGGTGAGAGCGACAGCAACTCGCACCTATTTAATCAGTTTTAGAAGCTTGAAGAGTGCCCTTCCTCAAAAATTCTTTCTCCCGAAGAACGAGCGTGCGAAGCTCATTACACAACACAGACAACTCTAGGTCCATCTCGACGATACATGGTATCACTTCCCTTTAATCAGACAGAACTCAAATTAGGCGACACATTTTATGTTGCTACGCAGGATGACAATCGGTCTTGGTGAAACGCGATCGTTTGCCGTCGCTAATTCTCCGTACAAATTAAGGTGTGAAGGGTGTGAAGGGATGTGATTTTTGACACAGTAGATTAGCAGTTAACTAGTTTAATTGAAACACTGATGATACAGGTATGTCTGCGTTCGGAGTGGCCATTACGTGTGGTCGGTTTGCTGGTTGATTGATTGACTGATTGACTGGCCGACTGACCGACTGCTTTCATAATATACGGATTAAGAGCCCCCTAGGCGCTCGGGGCCCTGGCTTATATAACCCTGGTCCCGATCGTCCTTTGGTTTTCCTTCGCGCCGGGTACAAATGTTCTCGGGGCGT